GCGTGATGCATCCACTCTCTGGGAACAAAGGTTCTAAGGTGGGGGCAAAGCACAGTGGTGTACAGTTTGAAACTGCTGAGTGATTTTTATCCTTTTACCTTATATACATGCCCTGGACAGTTATTGGTATATAGGTATATATGTGTACCTGGTCATTAGAGAACTAAGCCCAGAAAATACTTGGTCTCTTCACTGCAAGTGAAAAACAAGAGTAATGTTAGGTACTTCCTATGTAACATAAATTTTATGTACTACCTCCAAAGGTGCACCAATATGTAAGCTCATTGAAAAACATGAAGAAGTAAAACTGTGTGTATTTACAGATGACATGAACCTATTTCTAGGAAATATCAAGGAATTAATATACACATACACAGTCTGTTAGAACTAATAAACAACTATAGCAAGCTTGTGGGACACAAGAGCATTATAAAAACTATCTGAGAAAAGCGAAGGAACTTAAGTACTTTTTTAAAACCTTAATGGTGCTGAATGTTCCTAGGTGTCCACATCAGAAACAGAATGAACATTAGAATAGCTGTCATGGCATTTAGTTGTTGAATAGAATTTTAAGGTAGATGCAAGTGTCATGGGGATGGGGCAGGGTTCTAGGAATCTGACCCTTTAATTGAACAGGTATGATAAGATAGGAAATAGTTGGTTTATATTGTTTTCTCCTATTTCCAGTTCCATATATTCAAGAGTCATAATCACTGTGGGTTATCATCCCTCATTCTGGGAGACTGAGGCAGGAAGACTGCATGTTCGAGGTCAGCCTGGGCAGCTCTTAGTGAGACCCTGTCTGAATGAACAGATGAGGATGTAGCTCAGTGTTGAAGGCCTTTGGTTCATGGCAGCAGGGGGTGGGGAGGGAGCCACGGACTGGTAAACCTAGTAGTCATTGCCTGTTTTTTCACACTAAAATCGATTAAATTTATTATAAGTTATGGGATCATTATTTATACAAAGACAATAATTAAGTTCTTTGAAAATAGAGTTCCATGTCTTATTTCTGGTGACTGTAGGCACTATTACAACTATAATTCAGTAGTTGGAAGAACTTGGTGAATGTTAATTTCAAGCTCAACTTCTTTGTACTCACAGCAGATAGTTTGTTGTAGGTAATTCATGATGTTTACAAAGGTCTGTATCCTCTTTAGAATGAGGTCTGATTTTTAGTAATTAAAATAATACTGACCATTAATTTGTATTAATTAAGAGAACAGTACATGCTTGGAGTATGTAATGATTACTGTCATCATGGGAAGTTGGTACATGTTCATAACACGTCTTAATTCTTTTTTTCTTCCCCTCTCCTCCCTCCATCTCTTGGTTCTCTTCCCCTTTGCAAAAGATCCGGGAGAGCACATATTTTTATATGTTCATTTTCAGTTTCTGTATATTTTGTAGAATGATGTCTTCAGGCTTGTGGACCCAGGTCTTGGTGTCTGAAGTTCTTCTTAGTGTTTTTCTACCTGCCTTCTAGAAAAATGAATATTAGATTTATTTCTTGCCTTGGATTTCCCAGGTCTCCATTGTATATGGGATTTAGTTTCAATTTTTTAGACCTATTGTCTCTGCCTCTCAGTTGTACTTCTTCTTGAGATCATTATTTTAAAATCTATTCACGTTGCTCAAACAGCAGGTGTGACTGTAACTCAGCCATATTGGGCACAAAACCTTAAGTACTTTGTTTAAGTGAAGGCTTACAGATATGCATGATTATTCATAAGGGGATAAATGAGCAGCTTACCCCAGTGGTGTATTTTCTGTTATTAAATTATAAAGCATTTAAGTAATAATCATACTAATGGTAACAAGTCTGTCAAAAGCTTAAAACTTTTAAACCTAGTAATTTGGTACAGACCATACGAAAAACAACTTGATAATATGTCTCAAGAGTCGAAAAGTTTGTCTATACCCTTTATTCTAGTAATTTTTCTTAGATATAGATAGCCGAAGAAAATAAGCTGAAATGTAGAGGAAAGGCTGTTGACATAGTAACATGGAACAGTGTTTGTGGTGGGTTACTCAGTAAAAATCATAGTTAAAATTTTATTATACAGGGATACTTCAGTTCACAGATGCTTTTGTTTGCAGATAATTTGGTTCACAAAGCAAAACGTTCGGTAAAATTTTGTTTCTGTTTGCAAACTCTCCATCAGGTGACACACACAACTATGGCCATCTTTCCCACATAAACACAAACATGGCCATCTTTTCCAAAATTGTAGGACAAATTCAGTTTGTGAACCAAGGTTCTACTGTAGTACGATCATTTTTACATAGTTATAGCAAAAAAAAAAAAAATCTCTTAATAGATTTAGAATTCTTAAAGTGTGGACCCAGGCAGGGCAACTCAGCAAGACCCTGTCTCAAAACAGAAAGTTAAAAAATGAGTAGGAGGTATAACTCAGATGGAAGGCTGTGGGTTCAGTTCCCAGTACCACAAAGAAAAACACAGGAATCAAAATATTTTGTCCTTGTTATCTTGAGGGAGTAGAATTATGTTTTGTTTTTCCTTTTTTTAAACTTACTTGTATTGTTTTTGTTTTCCAAATATCCCAATGGGGGAGAAGAATAAAATTTTAAACTTTTTCTTTGGCAGGGTCCTTTTTGAGACAAGGTCTTGCTATATAATTCAGGCTGGATTTCAACTTGGGGCAGTCCTCCCAAGTGCTGGGATTATAGGCATGAGCCACCATGCCCAGCTTTGAACTTTTTTTCCTCAATGAAGAATACACACATATATTTAAATAACATAGCATCTAGGGTGGGCCAGTATCTCCTATCATCCAGACGACATCACTCAGTTGCCACAGTTGAAGCTCTGAGTGTCCTAAGGAGATTTCAGGATTAGTGTGTTAAAATGCACTTTTTTTATTCTGTAACTTTTCAAATGCTTACTATTAGAATTTGATGCTTTAATGGATGAATCCTCAGTTCTTGGGCTAATCAGAACAACTTACATTCAGTAGGCCCTAAAAAATTTAGGTTGAACTAACTGAATGAAATTTTTTACCATGAGACTTTTTTTCATAGTAGTGGGGAATGAAATGAGCTTTGCACTGAGCTATACTGCCTACCTACCTTTTTTTTGGGGGGGGGGGCAACAGGGTCTGAGTTGCTAAATTGTCCAAGATAAGCTAAAACTTGTCCTGTCTCTGCCTCCAAAGTAGCAGCGATTATAGTGGGTACCACCATTTTGTAAAAAGAGAGACAGAAACAATTTAGTTATTGGGGAAGAGATTACAAAGTATAGCTAGTTGCATGTAAGAGGAACTTACTTTGCTTCTCTGACTCATTCTGGCCCTTCTCTGTATCTCACAGCTAGCCCTGAAGGACCCTGTACACACGGTGTCCCTGCAGCAGTTCGTCTACGAGAAGCTGAAGGCACAGCAGGAGGTTCTGGGAGAACAAGGCTTCCAGTCTCTCATGGAAACAGTGGACACAGAGATTGTCACTCAGCTCCAGGAGTTTTTGCAAGGATTCTAAGAGCACATGCCGTGTGACTGCCACCCCTTTCTGAAACTTGCCGATAACCCAGTCTGCCAACTGTTTTTGCAAGCCTGCTGAAATGAGAGGTCACTTATATATGAAGATGGAACAAAGACACACATGTTTTTTACTACAAAATATAAAGATAAAATGTAAATTCCCCATAACTAAAATTGCAAACCTATTCCTCAGAAGAATTTAATTTTATATTTATGAAGGGCCCCCATGTTTACTAGAGGTACATTTATTGACAAAAGCTACTTAATTTTCTGTTAAGAGAAGACACTTTGATTATTTTTAATCATGTACTCTTGAGAAGATGAAGGTTAATGTGAGATGTTTTTCTGCAACCAAAATTAGCTAAAATTGGCTACCTTTATGTCAGCTAATGAAACGTTTGAAAAATCGACAAAGCTGTTTAGATGATTCAGTTAAAGAAATGTGTGCACCAGGCAAAAACATAAATAGTAACATATATACATTGCCAAGATTATCTTGTAAGGAATTGTGTTTATCTGACATAGAAAACATGTTTTATTAAACAACTGCTTTTATTTTCACTCTGGTAATCTGGCACAAAAAATAGTAAAGGCATTTTTTCTTGTTTTATTTTCAATAAAGACGTTTAGTCTGTAAATGTAGATTGTAAGACCCCAACATAAACCTCCAGTACTGTAGTGCCAGGTGAGACACCATGGTCATGGTTTGGTTCTTGTTTGTTTTTATTCTTCAAGGCCAGCAGCCCTATGAGCACTGGGCACCTCCCGGTGCTCTGTGCTGGATCAGTCCCACCTACTGGAGCAGCTGTTTAGCACTCTCCCACCTCAGGCCCTTCAGTTAGGGAAGCATCAGGGCCTCAGAGGACCGGCAGCAGTCCCCAGTTACCAACACTGGTATAACTAGTCTTCCTTCCTTATTCCTCCATCATGCAGTACACAAAAAGGGGAAAAGGACAAAATAAAGCCTTACTTTGCTTTACTTGCCATTTACTGTAAGGAACCATTAAAGCATTTCTTAGGAAATATAAGCAAGGATGGAGAATGTCTTATCTTTCTATAGAAAGTTGGGTATACTATGTAACCATGGGAAACCCACTTTCCCTTTGTAAGCTATAGAACCCAAAATATCTGGGGATATTTGATGTTTTCATCAGGACAGAAAGTGTGGTCCAGATTAAATTTTCCAAAGATACCTCACCTTTGACTGATTTGTGTGATTATGTTTTTGGCTTCAACAACAAAATGGGAGATTTTCTTCTGTACTTAGGTCTGGTTCTACACTACTAGATGGCAGTACTGAGGGTAACAAGTCTCAGTTACATTGCAATTCCTCTTAACGACTAAATGCTCCTTTGAAGTGGTATTTCTTTACCATTCTTACTCAGTCCGCATGACCGATCTAAAAATTATGTTTCTCTTGACTGATTTTCATTTGAAGCACTGTCCCCACCAGTATTATCAGAAATTCTTAAACATATTCTAGTTCTTCCATTACAATATCTTTTTAATTCCTGATAGATTTCTTTACAGTGTCATAGCAAATACTACTAAAACAGCTACTTTGGAAAAAATGAATAAAAAGTTTATCTCAGAGGAAGAATTTGATTCATTTTTTAAATTCATAGTTTAAAATAGTTGTTGCTTAAATAATTCATGTATCTTGAACTTTTTGTTTTCAAACTGTTTATAGAACTCTAGTTCATGAGTACAACTTTATAGCAAATATATATTGTTTTGATCACACAATTCAGCCAGATTGTGGCTCCTATTACAAGGTGTCTTAGTGACTTTTCTCTCACTGCTGAGACAAAATACCCAACACTCAAAGTTAAAGAGGGAAAGGTTTATTTAGCTTGTAAAGGTTTATTTGGATTGTAGAGGTTTCTGTCCATAGTTGGCTCCAAGGTAGAGTGGCATATGGCAGAGGGGCAACGGTTCATTGCAGTGGAAGACAGCAAAGGCAACAAGAGCAAAAAGGAGGAGACAAGCCCCCTTCTGTACCTTCTATCCAGACTGCTGGGATTAGGGTGGTGCCAATCCAATCAGTGCGCTGATCCAGCAGTCACCCAGCCTTAATCCCAGCACCCTTAACCCCAGCATTGCACTATGAATCAGTTACAAACTTTATTCAGCTACCTCCGAAGAAGCCTGCCTCCTGTGACTGCATGAGGCTTTGGGGGGAACATCTAGACACAAATCGTAACACAGGGTAATAATGGTTTCCATTGCATGAATGTATTTCTATTTGATGTATTTTACGTTTCTGAGTCTTTGCCCACCCTCTGATAAAAGCCCATGTGACCAACAATAGCATTTTGAAGTTTCATTATAAATTGAACTCTCTTGAGTCTTACTAGAGAAAAAATCATTACATGCTAAAATACTGTTTCAGTTTCTCTTCAAAAATCTTCCTTTTGAGGGTCTTTATTATACCTATTCCTTTATTCTACTAGTATGTGTTGAGTTCCTGGTTTTGCTGTAGTGCTTTCTACTTGCCCTCTAGGTAGGACAGGGTACTTACCTTCATGAAGTTGTACAATCCAGTGGGGACATAAACTTTCCAACATACCGTAAGAAAGGAGGGCTTCTGATGGAAGTGCAGCGTGCTGGGGAGGCAGATAGTGTACCAAAGAAAGGATGTCGTCAGTGGCTTATCTGGTAGCCTTTTAAAACCTGCTCTCAAACGGTATAGTTTGCTGAGGTTATTTAAAAGTAGATGGCACTGTACTCAAACTAGGTGCTCTCTGACTCCACTCAACAGTTGTTTGAAATCACTAACATACAAACTCATCAAGCAAGTTTTTGAAACAGTTGGGTCTCTGTTACCTCACTAATTCCTGTTGTGTGAATTAAAGCACAAAGTTTGCTTAGAATTCTGGTTTTCTATAAGCCTTCTAAACCCCAAAGGACTTGAAATATAAGATTATTGGAGAGCTCATGAAAGACAAAAGATGTATGTTACATAAAACAAAAATACTTATTCTTCCCTTTAGCAAACAATTTTAATCTACAGAAACATTGAAAAACTAGTACAGTGCCCCCGCCCCCAGTCTGCCTTTCATCTAGATTTACCAAACTTTGGATGTTTTGCCACATTTACCATGTGTATGTGTGAATGCATAAACACACATTATATAGTATATATGCATTTAATTCACAGATCCATTTGAAAGTAAATTACAGACAGGATATAAATATTAGCACTCACCCCCTAGTACCTCCCCATACATTTAAGAATGGCATTCCACTATGTATCCACCAGTACCATTTATATAGCCAAGAAAATCAACACGGATGCTATAACGTCTGAAAAACATTTCATAATTCTAGATTTTCTCAACAGTCTGAAAGATGTCATTGTACACTGCCCATTTGTTATTCGGTCCAGAATCTAGTGTCTATACATTGTACGGTGGTACCTCAGTTCACAAACAATTTATTCCACAATTCTGGAAAAGATGGCTACATTCGTGCTTGTATGGGAAAGATGGCTGAAGTTGTGCTGGTCATCTGATCTAGAGCTTGCGAAGAAAAACAAAATTTTGCCTAACGTTTTTGTTTGCAGACCAAATTGTTCACAAACAGTAATAGTGCTAGTGAACTGAGGTAGTGCTGTGATTGTTTGACTTTTAAATGTAGAATTGTCCTTTTTTCGTCTCATTGGTTATTTTGAAAAATTCAAGGCAGATACACAATTTTCCTTATTGCAGAACTTTATAATTGTTTCCTTAGTTCTATCATGTCAAGTGGTTTATATTGATGCTGCAATGGTTAAGGTAGTGTTACAATCTTAGAAATTTTCAGTGCTTTTTGTTTATTGACTTGCATCAGAGCTCTAACCAGCACCAGCTTGCCTATATGTTCATTTACAAAAGAAGTACTCCAATTTTATTTAATCCTAGGAAAATAGTATTATTGAACTATAGAAAAGGTATATTGGACCTGATGGAAGTTTCATCTCTATTGTTTCTGAAACTCCCACTTCCATACCTCAACTTCTTCTTTAAAGTTGTATGGACCTTTGTAAATGTATATCCTGAACTCACTCACACAGCGCTGAAGGCAAACCACTGCCTTCCTCATTACCAACTCTTGTTGGATTTGGAATCTGTTGGCAAAGCAAAGAGGCAAATGTTCAGTAATGGTTATTTTTTTAGTGAGATTCATATTTGGGTTGGGTTCAAAATGAAAGAACACTTTAGAATTTTTAGAGCATTTTCTTTTTCATGTGGTTTAGCATGAGAAATATACATCAGCTGGCAAAGTGAGGAGAGTGATCGTTTCCTTAAATGTGAAGCTTTGATCTTGGTAACTCAGGACTGTGACATTTGTGAAAGCAGCGTAAGGTCACTTTTCGTCCCTTTGAGAAGAAACTGCATTCTGTCTTATCCCATCCAAATTACACGGAATTGGTGTCTCACCCAGCAATGAAAAGCAGTTCATCTGGCTGTAGAGCCTGAGCTTTTCCACAGCTTTGAGCTGCCTGAGTTGAGCTTTGGGGCCTTGGGGTGATTACCCTGATAGCCTCGAAAGGTCTACAGCCATTGGTCTAAGTTTCTGTTTTTACTTCTCTTAGCCTGAGGAATTCCTTATGGTCTGAAGCACTTGGATAAAATTCAGAACAGAATCATTGCTCACATTTTCTCTAGAGTTCTTAAACCATAACAAGAAGAGAGTCCTTGATTAGCGAGAAATCTTTAACAAGCAAGATTTTTGTCTTTGCTCCCCCTTGTGCCTGAATCCAACTCATCTGGACTTGTCTGTTGGAATTTATTTAGTGAGGTGCGCTCTGAAGAACTATCTAACCAGGGAGAAATGTATTGACGTCTGGTCATCTAGCCTTTTTTTCCTTTAAAGTGAAACATTGATTTTTATGCCATACTAATTTCCCAATATGTCATAAATAGCTGCGAGGTAGGAACTGTTTGGCCAGGTATGAATCCAAGGAAGCTTGCAGCATTTCTGTCTGCCACTAGGCAGATAGTTTTAAAGTGGAAAGTAGGCCTTTGGCTAGAATAATTTGGGGGGATTCTTTATTACAAGGGTTAGGGCAGGAAAGGCTGGAGACAAGAAATGATGTATGTCTTTCAGCCTGTGTGTTCTTTTACCTGCACAAAGCATTGAGCAATGCTGAACCAGGTGAGCAAATCCAGTATTTTATTACATCTAGATGTAATGCAACTCACAGTTTGAGTATGAAAACCTAAACTTACTGAAATAATAGATTAGCAATTGATTATTCAAAAAGTTGCATTATACATTTTAAAAGAGTATTCCTTGTACATAATCACCTTGACTAAAAAAAAAATGTAGGCTATTTAATTATTATTACTGTTGTTTTTAGTAAGGAGATCAGAGAGACATGATTTACTTTAATTATATCATTTCACAGACAAACAAATTGAGGCCCAAAGAGGTTAGGTCTACAGCTGTGAGTCCCTAAAACTTGTTCTAATATGCTTTCAATTACATTCTTTTTTAAAAAGTTAACGGTTACCTAAATATACAGTATGCTTTTTAATTAATCTAAATCTGCCTTAACACTATTTTGAGGCTGGTGAGACAGGCTAAATAAATTTAAATAAACCATGTTTTGCCAGGTCTTCCTAACTTGATCAGTGTTCCTGCCAGGCAGAGCTGTATACTAAGGGAGATAAAAAGTTGAGTTTCCTTAGCTCCTTTCTACCTGTCTTTATTTCTTCTACCTCACATCCAAGTTCCTGACCTATATGATTTTTCTTTTTCAAGTTTTTATTTTTATTAGTGCATGTCTGCAGTACATAAGGATCACACTCATTGTGGAAAGTCCATAAGTATACTAACACATCTTAATTCTTTTTTTATCCATTTTCTCCCCATGCCCTCCGTCTGTTGGTTCCCTTTCCATTTCCAAAATCTCTATCTCCTATTTCCTTATCATCTATCTTTTATTTTGCTTTTAACGCTTTGGCAACATTTAAGCTTTTTTTGTGTTATTTCACTTAACATTGTCTCAAGGTGTATTCATTTTCTGACAAATGACTCAAGCAAGAGTAGTACTCCATTGTATATAAACACCACATTGTTCTTATCCATTCATCTGCAGATGGACATACAGGCTGCTTCAAAAATTTAGCTCTTATGAGTTGTGCTGCTCTAGACATGGATATTCATATATCATTGTACTATGATGATGGTTTTAACTTCTTTTGGAAAGGTACCTGGAAGGGGAATTGCTGGGTCACACAAAGTTTCTATTCTTAGTTTTTTAAAGGAATCTTCATAATTTTCATAGTGATTGTACTAGTTTACAATCCAATGCCACCAACAATGTGAAAGTGTTCCATTTCATCCATAACCTCACCAACATTCATTATTACATGATTTCTTGATAGTAGCCATAATTTCTGGAGTAAGATGAAATCTTAGTGTTACTTTAATTTGAATTTCACTAAAGACCAGAGATGTTGAACATTTCTTCTTGTAGTTATTGGTCATTTGTACTTCTGAGAAGTAAAAAATTCATTTCAGTTGCCCATTTTTTGATTGGATCTTTTATTTTGGGATATTCTATTTTTTTTTAAATTCTTTACATATTCTGTCAGAGGAGTACCTGGAAAAATTGGTTTCCTCTTCACTCTATTCGTTCCTTTGCTGTGAAGAGCTTTCTAATTTGATATAGTCTAATTTGTTGATTCCTGATGTTATTTCTTGTGCAATTGGAGTTCTGTTCAGAAAGCCCTTGCCTATGCATATGTTTTCAAGAGTTTTACCTATTTTATTGTCCAGCAG